AACAAAGCTAAAACAACCTCGTGGATGCATCAATCTGTCCGGACTTACAGAGATGGCCGCCGTTCTGAATACTGGATCTGGTGGCATGACATCAGCACGTAAGGCCCCTCTCAAAGTCTTTTGTGCGGGGTCACGTACCGGAGCGTCTGTCTCAATGTCTAGTCCTCCTCAGGTTTGAACTGAAGAAAAAAAAAAAAAAAAAAGTGCAGTAGGTGTTGGGCCTGTATGTGGGCAAACAGCTTCCAGCTTCTTTAAAGATTATCCTGATTTTCCTTGACTTCGAGAAAACAAACTTGCTATATAAGGAGGATCACTAAGTCAGCAATAGGTATATCACATGAGGACGTGCATGCGCACGAACTGCGTTGGTAGGGGCTTTACGTGCTGACATCATGCTGCCAGTTCCGGTATTCAGAATAGCGGCCATCTCTGTAAGTCCGGACAGCTTGTTCGTTTGATGCATCCATGTGGTTGTTTTAGCTTAGTTTTAAATAAAATATACTACACTATATATTTTTGTCGATGCTCTGTGGTGTGAGCTCTTCCCATTTAGGGCTTTAGAATTGAGACGCAGGAATGATCATGGTGGTTATGGTACATGCAGTTGCAATTTAACCCTCTGGTGAGTGTATACGGGTGGAGGAGTACACATTGCTGGTGTTGCTGGGAAGGTTTCTGGCCATCTCTTTTCTCTTTGCACTATTTGGACAGTAAACAAAGTTGGATATGCACTTTAGTAATTGGACTTTGCATTTTATTGTGTCACCACTATTTTTATTACAATTTATTGGACTATCATTTTTTAAATTTTGAGCATTGGTCCATATGTGATATATGGATTGACACTTGGTGTGTCCACATATTAACACTAGAAATCTCGCAGGAACCCTCCGCACACTGCTAATCACCCTTTCCAGCAAACATTGCGCTATAAATAGGGATTTTTAGTTCACACATACTGCAAAACATGTTTAAGCTGACCAACTGCGTCAAAGTAATCCCTCTATGGCCAGTCCTACTCTGCTCTGCCAACACAAATGCTACTGTGAACACAATGCCAATATGGGGCAAACAGACACAAAGCGGGGGGAGAGCTACTAAGTTTAGGTCTAGCTACTGACCTGCTATGCAACAGAAACAAGATATACCTGTGATTCAAATCCCAATAGCTTGTACATGCATTTATCTATAAGGTGCTAATGGGTTGTGGCCACATATTAACACTATAAATCCCAGAGGAACCCTCTGCACACTGCCAGGATTTATTTGTGTCTGTTTGCCCCAGGTTGGCATTGCGTCCACAGTAGCATTTGTGTCTGCAAGAGCCATTAGAGAAGGTATATATATCACAACTCTCTCCTTTAAGTAACCCTAATTACATACTCCTTTCATCATCAACCTATACAGTGGATACTGCCTTGGCAAGCTTAAAGTGATATTAAAGATTATTTAAAAAACAGAAAACAAAAACAAAACAAAAACCGCACACTGTACTTACTTGCTGTATGCAATGGTTTTGCTCAAAGCAGCCCATCCTCCACTTCCGGGTCCCCTGCCAACGCTCCAGACCCCTCCTTCCTACCTGGTGCCGCCAGAGCAAGCCTCTTGCTCTGGGGCACCCAAAGCAGGCTCGGCCATGCTCCTGCTCTCTTCTCATTGGCTTACTGGTTGTGATTGACATTAGTGGGAGCCAATGTCTACCTCTGCTGTCTCAGCCACTGAGGAGGGAGAGACCTGGGAGAGCCGATGCTTTTGTGCACATTTCTGAATCGAACGGGGGCGCAGGCAAGTTTTTGGCGGGCTGGGGGCGCTGCTGCACACAGAAGGTTTTTTACCTTCACGCATAAAATGAATGAGGGTAAAAAAAGCCTTTACAACAATTTCCCAATTTCAGCTAGCAAGTGACAACACATTTCTGAAAAGTATATTTGTTTAATTTTCATTCACTTGAAAAAAAAAAAAAGAAAAGAGGCTTGTACATACGTTAAACTGGAATTTCTTTCATGTTCTGTTTAAATATTCACCACCACCAGTGTCAAGTTAGATAATGTATTGTGGGTTGCATGCCCAGCATCTATTGCTCAGTTCAGAATTTATGTGTGTCATTTATTTAAAATCATCCTTAGTAGTAGGAGGAAAAGCAGTTTTCACACCTCTGTGGCTGCTGTAATGACAGGTCTTTGCTGACATTAATTTAAATATTTTAATAACAGATCAAACTTGCTATGGAGGAAAGCTAAAAATAATTATTCATGCAATTTTAAATAACATACAAATACATTAAACACAGTTAAATGCAAAGTTCCACAAATCTGGGTGTTGGTCCTCTAACGAAGAATGTTTTAATGCGAGTTTCAGAAACAATTTTTCTTGCTATTTGTGTCCCCGCTGGCACATCTATCCACTCTGTGTGCTGCTCTGTTTGCCAATGAGACCGAAATTGATAGGAAATTCAAGATTTTGTGGTTGTCTCTAGATCAGAGTTTAGTAGCAAACATCCAGTCGGACACCTTAAGACAGTGGTTCTCAACCTTTCTAATGCCGCGACCCCTTAATACAGTTCCTCGTGTTGTGGTGACCCCCAACCATAAAATTATTTTCGTTGCTATTTCATAACTGTAATTTTGCAGTGGGAGGAGTAGTGCCACGTCATTGGTGTCAGTGGGGGAAGTAGTGTGTCCCATCGTTGGTGTCAGCGGGGGAATAGTGCCCCATCGTTGGTGTCAGCGGGGGGGAATAGTGCCCCATCGTTGGTGTCAGCGGGGGGAATAGTGCCCCATCGTTGGTGTCAGCGGGGGGAATAGTGCCCCATCGTTGGTGTCAGCGGGGGGAATAGTGCCCCATCGTTGGTGTCAGCGGGGGGAATAGTGCCCCATCGTTGGTGTCAGCGGGGGGAATAGTGCCCCATCGTTGGTGTCAGCGGGGGGAATAGTGCCCCATCGTTGGTGTCAGCGGGGGGAATAGTGCCCCATCGTTGGTGTCAGCGGGGGAATAGTGCCCCATCGTTGGTGTCAGCGGGGGGAATAGTGCCCCATCGTTGGTGTCAGCGGGGGGAATAGTGCCCCATCGTTGGTGTCAGCGGGGGGAATAGTGCCCCATCGTTGGTGTCAGCGGGGGGAACAGTGCCCCATCGTTGGTGTCAGTGGGGGGAATAGTGCCCCATCGTTGGTGTCAGTGGGGGGGAAACAGTGCCCCATCGTTGGTGTCAGTGGGGGGGAACAGTGCCCCATCGTTGGTGTCAGCGGGGGGGGAATAGTGCCCCACCGTTGGTGTCAGCGGGGGGAAAAGTGCCCCACCGTTGGTGTCAGCGGGGGGAATAGTGCCCCACCGTTGGTGTCAGTGGGGGAATAGTGCCCCACCACTGGTGTCAGCGGGGGGAATAGTGCCCCACCGTTGGTGTCAGTGGGGGGAATAGTGCCCCACCGTTGGTGTCAGCGGGGGGAATAGTGCCCCACCGTTGGTGTCAGCGGGGGGAATAGTGCCCCCACCGTTGGTGTCAGCGGGGGGAATAGTGCCCCACCGTTGGTGTCAGCGGGGGGAATAGTGCCCCACCGTTGGTGTCAGCGGGGGGAATAGTGCCCCACCGTTGGTGTCAGCGGGGGGAATAGTGCCCCACCGTTGGTGTCAGCGGGGGGAATAGTGCCCCACCGTTGGTGTCAGGGGGGGAATAGTGCCCCACCGTTGGTGTCAGCGGGGGGAATAGTGCCCCACCGTTGGTGTCAGCGGGGGGAATAGTGCCCCACCGTTGGTGTCAGCGGGGGGAATAGTGCCCCACCGTTGGTGTCAGCGGGGGGAATAGTGCCCCACCGTTGGTGTCAGCGGGGGGAATAGTGCCCCACCGTTGGTGTCAGCGGGGGGAATAGTGCCCCACCGTTGGTGTCAGCGGGGGGAATAGTGCCCCACCGTTGGTGTCAGCGGGGGGAATAGTGCCCCATCGTTGGTGTCAGTGGGAGGAATAGTGCCCCATCGTTAGTATCAGTGGGAAGTATAGTGCCCCATCGTTGGTGTCAGTGGGAGAATATAGAGCCCCATCGTTAGTATCAGTGGGAGGAATAGTGCCCCATCGTTGGTGTCAGTGGGAGGAATAGTGCCCCATCGTTGGTGTCAGTGGGAGGAATAGTGCCCCATCATTAGTATTAGTGACACCAATGATTGGGCACTATTCCTCCCACTGACACCAATGATACTTACCTTGCTGACCCCTGCTCCAGCCTGGGCTCGCTCGCGCTCCCTCCCTCCCTCTCCCATGGTACAGACACTTACCGGTCAGATGTCTTCCTTCTCCGGCCGCTCTCCTCCTCTTCACTCGCTCGATCTTCGTGGTGCCGCTCGGCTCCTCCTTTCCAAGCTCCACCTCCTCGCCGGTGATTGGCCGCCTGTGTGCCTCTCCTGAGCTACAGTTCCGGCGGCCAATCACCGACGAGGAAGGATTGATCCCGGGGGTGTGTCCAGATGACAGGGACGGCATGTCATCCCGCCCACACCTGGAGACGGATCAAGGAGCAGTGTCTCGGTTCCTAAGGCCATCGGAAATATGTGTTTTCCGATGGTCTTAGGCGACCCCTGGGAAAGTGTCGTTCGACCCCCAAAGGGGGCGCGACCCCCAGGTTGAGAACCGCTGCCTTAAGAGGAGATTTACTTTCATGCTGAACTGTCACTTTTCCCCCTCATTTAGAAAGACTTCATGAAAGATCTTCTAGTGTCTCAGGGAAAGGAACTGAGGAAACATGTCCCCAACAAGAGATGGACAGCTATAAATGCCTAACAGGATTCTAACATTTTATTTTTCAATCGAAAACAAAACATTGTGTTACTTCTGTTGCAGGCTCTATTAAACAGCACCAATACATTGTGCAGATTGTATCTATGTTTGATCTGTATATTGGACATCTTGATTTTCTTCATTTACATACTCCGACTTACGTATAACCATAGTTAAGATTTGTGAAAAGATTTAAGGGTTTGGATTCAGTTTTTGTGGATCTCTGATAATATCAATGCTATCGTGTTCTTGCAGCTAAATGTTCCCTCGGAGAGGAGGTAAGACCAACCATTGTTTCACTTGCTTCCCAAAGCTTTTTGGCTATTCCAGTGTCCTGTGCATGTGGCTGCAACTTGAATGGTTTACAGTCTGAGAAATAACCTCCATTGTGCTGGAGAATGTCATCAGATACAGCACAGTAAATTACAGTCTGAGCAGCTGCCTGGCAGGAGATGAAGAACATCGATGTGAAGACATACATCACTATGCGGAACAGGACTGAAAATTGGGATGTCCACTCACCAACAACATAACCTGTAAGAGAAAGACAAAATTAAGAGCGACATCTTTTAACATATGCAGAGATCACCCAATTAAAAAGGCTCAAGCCTGGACATGTTGAGTCTTTTTAAAGTGTGTATATATACATATACATATATATATATATATATATATATATATATATATATATATAAACATATATATGTAATACATACACATTCACCAGAACAGTACAGTGTCACTATGGTGACATTGCACTGCTGTGGCTATTGACCAGACACTGTCTGCTGCATTGACATACAGTGTTATCAGTGCAGCAGTCAGTATCTCTGATCAATAGACAGAGCAGTACAATATCACCACGTATTGCACTCTCAGGCTGTGAGAGGAATGGCTCTGTGTTCTGCTGTGTCCAAGGGATAAAAATTTAGATGGCTGCCTACTGGGGTTCTACTTTAAGTTGGGAGTCAGAGACAAAAACTGGAAGCCAGGCATTTTGTTATCAACATTAAAAACTATTTGATTACTCATAAAAATATTATAAGAAGCAAAATTGTAATAAATCTGACCACACTGAGCACATATCAAACCTGGAAACAGTCTAAAATGTGGACATCACATTGTTGCAGACTGAATAAACAGAACACCAACTGTGCCATCAGACTGGATTACAACCAAGTATGTGAATTATATTTTAAATCCAGTGCTAAGTTTATAAGTACTCAATACAGCCCTTGCATCAGAGAACTGTTCACCTTTCAAATGAAAAAAGAGCCCCCAAAACCAAAGCATTTAATATGAAAATGGTGTTTTAGAGCTCGAAAGTTGGTGATCTGGCTTTTGCCCTCCATAACACTTCGAGCAAAGCACAAATATACATCCTACTATCACACTGAGAGATGCAGCCTGCATGGGCAGACTGGGAGCTTTCAAGGGGGGTGTCAAGACAAGTCTAAACTTTGGAGGAGGAGAGTAGGCTGAGTTCCCAGTAAAGCTAGCGAACTGACCACGATGTGTTCTCCAGCTTAGTGTGGTCAGTTTTTAAGAAGGAAAGGAGAGGGCCTGGCAGGAACACCGGGGATTTCACACAAAGGAAGCAATACAAAGAAAACAGGATACTTTTTCAACTACATGGTACAGCAGGCACATTCACGCTATGAAAAAAAAACAAGGCCACAACAGAATGTATTTCCTGACCTGGATGAACAGCACATGCAGATATGCCATGCCTTTCCACCTGCTGAGCCAATTCCTGGGTAAAGTAGACATTTGCTAATTTGCTTCTGCAGTATGTAAAAAGTGGCACTGTGTTGTAGTTAAGGTCTGTGAAGTCCAGCTTCTGATATTTGTGAATGTTAGAAGTGACATTAACAATACGGCTTGGTGCACAATGTTTGAGGCGGTCCAGCAGTAGATTGGTGAGAAGAAAAGGGCCAAGGTGGTTGACTCCGAAACACATGCTGTATCCGTTATCTGTCCAGTCTAGCAGAGCTGGTACTCCTGAGAATTAGAATAAGGATATATGACTGAAACAAAAAAATGCAGCAAAATTCATTGTGGAATACATCCTTCTTTGCTCAGCCCTTAGACTGAATAAAAAGTTAGCACTGTTTAATTAAAGTTTTTTTTCCAGATGTTAGAAAGAACGATTGAAATGGCTTAAAGCCCACAACAGTAAAATCAGTCTGTATATGCAGTAAAGCATGCTTGTTATACTCACTGTGGATTCTAAGGGGTTTTTGATCCTGTTTTTTCTGATTGTCCACTTTTACTGTCCCCAATCCATCTGCTGATAGTACAGAGTTCTAGGAGTCACTCTGCACATGCTCAGTTCGGAGTGTATTGCTAGAGTGTTTTTTTTTTGGGAGGGTGCATGTGATCCAAACAGGGCCAATCAGCACTGTCCAGACAGAGCGTCATGGATCATGCAGCCTCATAAGACAGACAAAATAATTGCATGTCCATGTTGTGTGTACTGTGGGAGACCAAATATAATGAATGCAGGGTCCTGGGTTTAGTAACACTGAAGTTCAAAGATGTCTGTGTGCACTTTAAGCCCATTAATGGTTAGAATACACTACAGGCAGCCAAAAATAAATTGCTGATTTTTCTTTAACAGAACTATCATTTCTATATCACTGTGATAAATCTGTTCAATTATGTGACATCCATTAATTTAATCATCCTGCCAACCCAAATCCTGATGAACACACAATCGGAAAAAGACTGCCAGTGTTGAATAAAATGATCAATGGGCTTATTTAATAACAGTGCAGTGAGCAATGGTGTGCAATATTCCATTGCAACCAACCAGATTTCAGCAACCTAGTGTTATAAAATACAATTTCTTGCTGGTCTCTGAAGGCTGCATACTGCAAAAAAAATAACTACTCAAATGCACATCAAAATGTCAGGTTCTGATCATTATGAGCTACAGTGGATATAAAAAGTCTACACACCCCTGTTAAAATGTTAGGTTTCTGTGATGTAAAAAAAATTTGACAAAGATAAATCATTTCCACCTTTAATGTGACCTATAAACTGTACAACTCAATTGAAAAACAATCTGAAATCTTTTAGGAGGGGGAGTTTACATAAAAAAAATAAATAATGTGGTTGCATAAGTGTGCACACCCTCTTATAACTGGGGATGTAGTGGTGTTCAGAATTAGGCAATCACATTCAAAATCAGGTTAAATAGGAGTCAGTACTCCCCTGCCATTATTTAAAGTGCCTCTGATTAACCCCAAATTGCTTAGTCACATCCTACAGCAAGAGCCATGGTCCGCAGAAAGCTTCCAAAGCCTCAGAGGGATCTCATTGTTAAAAGGTATCAGTCAGGAGAAGGGTACAAAAGAATTTCCAAGGCATTAGATATACCATGGAACATAGTGAAGACAGTCATCATCAAGTGGAGAAAATATGGCGCAACAGTGACATTACCAAGAACTGGATGTCCCTTCAAAATTGATGAAAAGACGAGAAGAAAACTGGTCTGGGAGGCTGCCAAGAGGCCTACAGCAACATTAAAGGAGCTGCAGGAATATCTGGCAAGTACTGGCTGTGTGGTACATGTGACAACAATCTCCCATATTCTTCATATGTCTGGGCTATGGGGTAGAGTGGCAAGATGGAAGCCTTTTCCTACGAAGAAAACCATCCAAGCCCGGCTAAATTTTGCCAAAACACATCTGAAGTTTCCCAAAAAGCATGTGGGAAAATGTGTTAAGGTCTGATGAAACTTTTTGGCCATAATTCCAAAAGATATGTTTGGAGCAAAAACAACACTACAGATCACCAAAAGAACACCATACCCACAATGAAGCATGGTGGTGGCAGCATCATGCTTTGGGGTTGTTTTTCTGCAGCTGGAACTGGGGCCTTAGTCAAGGTAGAGGGAATTAGAAACAGTTCCAAATACCAATCAATATTGGCACAAAACCTTCAAGCTTCTGCTAGAAAGCTGAACATGAAGAGGAACTTCATATTTCAGCACGACAACGACCCAAAGCATACATCCAAATCAACAAAGGAATGGCTTCACCAGAAGAAGATTAAAGCTTTGGAATGGCCCAGCCAGAGCCCAGACCTCAATCCAACCGAAAATCTGTGGGGTGATCTGAAGAGGGCTGTGCACATGAGATGCCCTCACATCCAGATTTGGAGTGTTTTTGCAAGGAAGAGTGAGCAAATAATGCCAAGTCAAGATACGCCATGCTGATAGACTCATACCCAAAAAGACTGAATGCTGGAATAAAATCAAAAGGTGCTTGAACAAAGTATTAGTTTAAGGGTGTGCACACTTATGCAACCATATTATTTTAGTTGTTTATTTTACTTCCCTCCAAGATTTCAGTTTGTTGTTCAACTGAGTTGTACAGTATATAGGTTACAGTAAAGGTATAAAAAGTTCTGAAATTATTTATCTTTGTCTCATTTTTTTTTACATGACAGAAGACTGACATTTTAACAGGGGTGTGTAGACTTTTTATATCCACTGTCTAAAAACGTACAACTGGTTTCTTCATAAACTCGTTCTTTCTTAGTGCCAACACCTAATCATTATAAGATACTAGGCCAAGGAGAAATTAATACACAGCCATATACCTGCAACTAAGGTAATTATGCTTACAATTAATAGGCTGTAACATATGATACATAAACAAATGATTTATTTACAAAGAAAGCGCAAAGTGCAAGAGGAAGTAACTTATAGCAAGCAGATTTTAGTCTACTGAAGAAAGGAGAATATTAAATGAAAATGTTTCTCTCTATTTCAGCACTTTGCATTACGAGAAAACACAGATGATTTGACATTTTGTCAAAAAAAGTCTAGCTTACACATGTTGTCTAGAGTACATATCACTGCATAAATAACAAAAAAGTCAACTGCTAAAAAAGTGAGACTTTCAGAATATGAATATATATTTTTTTAGTCGATGAGAATACAATTAATAGGAATGACCACGAAATGTAGTCGTTGTTGGAGATGCTGCAGATACAGTCAGTCACTCGCAACAAAATCCACAACTCCATCTAGTGGAGAATGGTATAAATGCAGCACATTAAGGTAGTCAATTTAATGAAATTAATTAATTCTGTGGAAGGCACAGTTAAAAAAGGTTTTCAATTAAATAAACATATAAAGATTTGCTTGATTTAAAATGCTAAAGAATGCCTTTGCATGCTTCTTCAGGGCAGTTCCAATACAACCTATTTTAAACAGACTACTCTGAGGCAATTACTTCTTCTGTACCAAAATATAGTAACCACATTATTATGTACATTGGAATAATTAAAGAAAATCACAGTACTACACGCTATTATGTAATAAGGTGGTTTGTATTTAATGTAAATGATATTGTATATAATACCCAAGAGCTTTCTGCTGAGCCTCATTTACGGAACTGAAGAAAAACAGCAACCCACTTATGACAAGACAAAGTAGGATAAATCAGAAAAAAACATATGCAGCAGCACCAGGCAATCTATCATTATGTTACATATAAAATGGAAAGAAACTGGAGCTCCCAGGGGAAACCACGCAAGCTCAGAGGGAATATGCAAACTCGATGCAGGTAATGTCCTGGTTGTGATGCAAACCATGGACCCTGGTGATGCAGGGCTAATCACTAAGCAACTATGCCAGCCTTTCTCAACCAGGGTGTCCAGGCACCATGGGGTGCCTTCAGGCTTGTTCAGGGGTGCCTCGGCAAAAAGCCCAAAAATTGTATACAAGCCAGCAGGTGCATCAGTCCTGTCTTTTTAGTACACAAAGCCATGTTTTCATTGTGCACTTTTATGACCTAGCTGCCAGCATCCTAACAACCAATGACATCATCAGTTGATAAGGAGGACGTCGGATGCATGCACATCATGCTTGTTTGGTACTCCCCTGCCCCTCTCCATCAGCACCGGGGTCACATTAGCAGAGTGAGGGAGAGAAAATGAGAGACACACACTGGAATACTAATTGGTAACAGTGTATAAAGGTGTATTTGCTTTGGAAGAGTAAATCACCTCTAATGTTAGGTGTACTGGATATGTGTAGAATAGCTTTTTACATTGGATTGGGGTGCCTTGAGATTGTGCAGAATTTTAAAGGGTGCCTTGCGATTATCGATCATTTTAAAGGGTGCCTTGCGATTATCGATCATTTTAAAGGGTGCCTTGTGATTATCCATCATTTTAAAGGATGCCTTGAGATTCTGCAGAATTTTAAAAGGATGCCTTGAGATTCTGCAGAATTTTAAAAGGATGCCTTGAGATTCTGCAGAATTTTAAAAGGATGCCTTGAGATTCTGCGGAATTTTAAAAAGGATGCCTTGAGATTCTGCAGAATATTAAAGGATGCCTTGAGATTATCCATAATTTTAAAGGGTGCCTTGAGATTATCCAAAAATTTTAAAGGGTGCCTTAACTGAAAAAAGGTTGAGAATCACTACACAATGCAATATGCACCACAAAAGTCATAAAGATCTGAAGTGGAAGCCCAGAAATATCAATGGAATAAATAGTTTGTAATATAAAAGTAATTATTACTATTGTAAAACGCTAGATATAGGTAACCTTTGGTTGAAGTCATTGTTTGTTTATTTCCGCTTTAAACATTCGACCGTTTTCAGCCAAGGAAACTGCCAGCTTGGCCTCTGTTTGATCTGCAGTTGCTGTGGTGCTGCACATATGATCAGTTATGATGCCAGCCATTTGATGGTTTGACAGTTTGGTTGAGAACACAAGCAAATGTGATAGTTAGCATTCCCGGCATGCAGGCAATGTAACTGTTTTTTTTAATTGTTCAAATCGATGGTTTAATTCCACTTAATGCTGCTTTCACGCTGATTCGTTGTTCAGTTTAAAAAAAAAATAAATATATATGTATATATACATAAAAAATGCATCCCTTTAAAGGCCCTTCCACATGGGGCGGGCTTCGCTAGGAGCCCACTGATCCCTGCTGAGCAGGCTGATGGCTGCTCCATGTCCGCTCTGCTTATGCAGAGTGGGCACAGACACAGCACACTCTTCTACGGGTGGTAGGATCTAAACGACCACCTGTCCGTTTACACCCGGCCATCATCTGATCCGATCCGCTAGATGGAAGGGGAACATCTGTTTTTAGTGGATCAAATATAGACAGGTGTAAAAAGGGTTGAATTGCCCTGTGAAGAGATTTAGGCTATTTAAAGAACTACACCATAGAGAGGCCTCAGTGGTTTTTTTGCAAGAGACACATCTCGAGATAGAATCTAAGGTTAAATTAAAATCTAGAGATTATCCAATATGGTATTATGCAGATTCCCCAATCAGGAGAGCTAAAGGGGTGGCAATAGGGTTCAGAAAAAATATAAGATTTGAGTTGGAGGATAGAAAAGAGGACCCAGAGGGGAGATATCTGTTTTTGAAAGGCAAAATACAAGAGGTGGAGTGTACAGTAGCGAATGTATACTGTCCAAATAAGAAACCGGAGATGTACTTGAAAGGTGTGTTAAAAAGACTGATGGATTTTAAAAAGGGCTGTTTGATATTAGCCGGGGATTTTAATTTCTGTATGGACCCACAAAATGATACAACCTCTTCTGTGCAGCGTGAAGGAAATAGATCTCTGAGATTATTAAAGAAGATGATCCATGAGTTTCAATTGGTGGACGCATGGAGAATTATGCATATGAAGGACAGAGACTATACATTCTTCTCAAATGCACATGAGACGTACTCAAGGTTGGATTATATATTGATAGAACATCGATTTTTAGAATCAATGGTCAAAGTAGATATAGGAGCAATGAATTTTTCAGACCGCGCCGCCTCTGTTGTGTTGAGAATGGGATGGGGAAGGAGGAAAACGGAGGGGGTGGGATGGAGGTTGAATGAAGCACTTCTCTTTGATAAAGATACCACCCAAAGGATTGGGAAAGAAATTGAGAGATTTTTTAGAGAGAATGAGACAGAGGATGTATCGATGGCTACAGTATGGGAGTCTCATAAGGCATATACAAGAGGTATCCTAATTGCAGTTGGGGCCAGAAAGAAAAGAGAAAGGAGAGAGAAAATCAGTAGGCTCCTAAAGGATATATCTGATTTGGAAGAGACACATAAAAATAGTATAGCAAAAGAAATAAAGCAGAAGATAATAAAAAAAAAAAGGGGAGTTAGAGACCTTGATGGAGGAGGAGAGAAGGAGAGTCTATGACAAAGTGCTAGGTGAGAGATATAGATGGGGAGATAGGCCGGGAAAATTTCTAATGAGAGCCTTAAGAAAAAAGAAAAATAGGAATTATATCGATAAAATAAAAACCCTAAGGGTGAACTGGTTTCATTTAAATAAGGAGATTGCAAAGGTATTCATGGATTATTATAGAAAGATGTATAATATCAATCCCTATGATGCAGTAAATAATAGGGAAATGGAAAATAGAAAAAAAAGAAAGATATATTTAAAAAATGCGGGTCTACCGAAATTAAGAGAAGATCAATTAAACTCCCTTGAAGCAGAAATTACACAAGAAGAAATAAAAATAGCCCTAAAAAGCACAGAGACGGGGAAAAGCCCAGGACCGGATGGTTTCACGGCGAGGTATTATAAAAAGTTTAGTGAACAACTGATCCCCAAATTGGAGAAATATATGAATGCCCTGGGAGGAGAGATCGATATGAGGAGAGAATCGTTACAGGCTCATGTGGTATTATTGCAGAAGGAAGGAAAAGACACCTCACAGTGTTCTAACTATAGGCCAATCTCACTGTTGAATTTAGACACCAAGTTATATGCAAAGGTCTTGGCAAACAGGTTGCGAAGGAGTTTATGCCTAAATGGATACATGGAGATCAGGTGGGCTTTGTCCCAGGAAGGGAGGGTAGGGACAATGGGTTGAGATCCCTGATGCTTATTCAGAAAAGTAGAAAAGAGGAGGTGCCGGCGGTGGTTATGTCAATCGACGCCGAAAAAGCCTTTGATAGAGTAGATTGGGGCTTCATGATGGATACCTTGGAGGCTCTGGGAATTGGAGTTAGATTGAGGGAATGGATAGAGTCTGCCTAAAAAAAGTGAAAGGGGCCTAAATCCTATGGAACTCTTCACACTGGACAGTTGTGGTTCAGTTGCATTTTTAAAAGTACTGCTTGCTGCATTTTTGGTGCATGTTTGTTCAATAAAAAAAAAACGCACCTCCCCATTGAAATGACTGGAAACTGCATCAAAAACGCAAAGCACCTGTGGAAAGTGCTTTGTCCAAGGAAACAAATGCAACACAAACGTGACAAAAACCGAAGCAAAAATGAATATGCGTTTTTGCCATACAGCAGCAGTGTGAAAACAGCCTTAACTGAAATAGTTTAAGTTTGTGACAGGTTAAACTTAGGTTTCAATCAAGAGTGGGCAAATCCAATCCAAATCTAAGCTGCATATGCACCTAAAATCACCAATTTCAACAGTTTATCAAGTGCCTGCTGATTTCTAGATTGAATTAGCTAGCTACTACATTCTTAGTGTGCTATTCCATACTCTAGAGGGTTAAATTTTTAACTTTTACAATTTTAGTTCTGACCCCAGGGCACGGCTATAATATGTATTCTGAGAGAACATAGTCAACACAAGTTAAAGGTGAACCCAAAAAGAGATATTTATGACACAATTCTTACCATCATAGTTTATAAGGATATCAAGACGTTTTTCAGCCTTCAGAAACTCTCTGCAAAAGTTACGTATGCTTTGCAGGTTTCCCAAGTTCAGACAGCAGAATCGGACATTCATACTTGAGCTCTCCCTCTTAATCTCTCGTACAGCAGCCTCTCCTTTCTGTTCATCAAGACATGTAATATAAACACGGGCACCACGTCTTGCCAAAGCAATGGCCGTCTCTTTTCCAACACCAGAAGTCCCACCTATGGTTTTAAAACAAGCATATTCACTTTGAAAGCAAGGAGAAACTTCGTCAACTACATTTTATTATAGAAAGGGCCATCAAAAAGCATCACACCATCCTGAAAGTAGGTGTTTCACAAACTTCTCCTCAAGCGAACAATCCATGTTTTCTGGATATCCACAAAGAGTTACAGCAGTATCAAACCCAAAAGCAAACTGAATATTGCAGCTTACCAATTCTCAGATGTGATGGCGGTATTAGTTTTCTTTTTAGGCTCTTTCTTTTATTTTCAACTGGTGATCTGGCCAGCAGGTCTGTTATTTATTTATTTCAGGCACTTATATAGCGCTATCAATTTACGCAGCGCTTTACATATATATTGTACATTCGCATCAGTCCCTAACCCTCAAGGGGTGTACAATATAAGGTCCCTAACTCACATTCATACATACACATACTAGGTGCAATTTAGAAAGGATCCAATTAACCTACCAGTGTGTCTTTGGAGTGTGGGAGGAAACCAGAGTACCTGGAGGAAACCCCCGCAGACACAGGGAGAACATGCAAACTCCAGGCAGGTGGTGCTGTGGCTGAGATTCGAACCAATAACCCTAGTGCTGCCAGGCGCAAGTGCTAACCATTTAGCCACTGTGCTGCCCCACTGTCTATTGTTTTTCAACAGAATAACTATCCTACAGATGTAGCAGTTAGAGAGCTGAGACAAACCATTTACCACTGACAGAGGTGCTTACAATCATCAACTTTTAGTCATGTAAAACCTTTATCCCAAAAGGAACACAATTTGTTGCTGTAACTTCTTAAAACAATTGGCTTCAATATGTTAATGCATCTACATCTGCTAGTACATCTAACACTCCCCTCAGATGGACAATGCTGCTGTCCAAAGGTGTCCCTGTTGCTCCTTCATCCAGAGTGTAGGCACTCTAATACAGGAGGTGTGTTACTGACCAGAGCACCAGGTGAAAACAGAGCGAAAAAAAGCCTAAAAAGGAAAACTAATGCAGCCACCACATCTAATGATTGGTAAGCGGCAATATAATACATTTTTGGTTTTGAGTTTAATACCACTTTAAACCACACTGCTGATATACAATTTACTCCACCTATGCATACATGATTTTACCTGCAAATCATGCTCTCTTAGTGGGACTTGAGAGCTTAAGAAAACACTGTAAAATGAACTTTGACAGATCCATATCAGTCATAAGTCTATAAGTAAATTGCTGAAAAATACATGTTATAAAAATTATAAAAATGGAATAAAAATCTATTTATATTCTGAAATAGAAGGAGCCAAGATTTAAAATCAGGATGAAGATAACATGTTAATATAATAACTTTTAGCTTCCTTCAGTCATAAAAACCTAAACTCACTTAGGAATGTAATGGCAAAGCTCTTATTCTGATCTGATATTCTGTGATCACTTGGATTAAGGTAAAAACCACAGATAAAAATGATTTACAGCTGTAGTTTCAGAAACTCTTTTTCTTATGATGTTTAGCACAGTTTACATAGAGGAGCAGTACAGTGTGTATAACAGAGTACAGGGTATAAAGTGCAGAAGTCTAGATTACATAATATACAGCACAATTTACACAGTGTATATAATAGTGGTGCACCGAAATGAAAATTCTGGTGCCGAAAACCAAAATTCAAAATGCACTTGGCCAAAAACCGAAACGCGCAGTTTTTAAAAATGAATTTTTTTTTTGGGAAAAAAATACACTTTGATTAAAAAAAAAACAATATATACCCCAATTTTTTTTGTAAAATATGAAAGAAGATTTTACAGCGAGTAAATAGATACCCAAAATGTCACGCTTTAAAATTGCGCACGCTCGTGGAATGGCGTGAAAATGCGGTACTTAAGAATCTCAATGGGTGATGCTTGAAAAATTTCTACAGGTTAGCAGTGTAAAGTTACAGAGGAGGTCTAATGTGAGAATTAGTGCTCTTGCTCTGAGGTTCTGGTGACACCTCACGTGTGTGGTTTGAACACCATTTACATATGTGGGCATGGACTAAGTATGCGTTCACCACTACGTGCGAGCACGGGGGGATGGGGGCACTTTAAACTTTTTTATTTAATTTTTTTTTTGTTTTTTTGCCCTGTCCCTTTAAAAAAAATTTTAATCATTTTTATTCTTAATCACAAGAAATGCATAAATCCCTTGTGATAGAATTAGTGACACCTCCTCTTTATGGAGAGATATGGGGTCAATAAGACCCCACATCTCTCCTCTGTAATGTAAAGCATTGGATCAAAAAAAGCATTGATCTAGTGCTTTTAAAAAAAAAAAAAAATGGCCGGAACTGGAAGAGACATAACCCTGGTCCAAGGGCATGGAGATGAGTGAAGGCCATCTTTCCTTCACTAATCTCTATGTCCAGCGTCGGGATTGTTCAATGGCTTCTCAAGTAAGGCTGAGAACTACCGAGCGTCGGCCTGGTGGCAGCAAGGGGCTGGGTTTTTTTGGCACCTGTATCAGTGCTTTTTTTCATATCAGCCGCTGGCCGAAAGGGGCGTTTTTGACCACCCAAATTTTGGTGCATACCTAGTATATAACATACAGCAGATGTATTTAATGTAGCAGTATGGATTATATAATATGTATCACATTGGAGAAGTGTGATGTATATAATGTACTGTACAGTAAAGTAGCCAGGATTATACAACATAGGGAATACGGTGGAGCAGCATGGAAAATACAACATAAAGCGCAGTGTACAGTGCAGCGGTGTATAGTGAACATTACATCACACAGTGAAATAAGTAACACAGGAGCTGGATAGGACAGGGATTAGTAATAGTCAAGTGGAATAGGTGTGAGGCATGAGAGACTGGTGACGATTAAGCAAAATGGGGGATAAATACCAGGGGCAGTGGAGAAATTGTAACCAGAGATCAGAAGCAGAGGAAGAAAAGAGCAAAAACCATAAAGATGCAGGACACGAGCTGAAAAAGTTCATAGAAAAGGGTGGGTGAGAAGAGTAGAGGCTGGTGATCTTGATAGAAAACTTGGTGAGAAGTTGCTCATTCTCGTAGCAAAAAACATAATGGCACTCTTTTGTCTGGAGGTCTGACCTGTGCTACAGAAAGGCTTCTTCACAGTAAGAGCTGTGAAAATGCGAAACAGACTTCCTCAGGAGCTGGGTAAATTGGCTCTAGTATATGCATGCATGTGAGGTGAGGACCTCAGATTGTAAGCTCCTTGAAGGCAGGGGTTGATGTGAATGTACAGTACTTAAAACCATTGCATAAATTGTCAACACCATATAAATGCCTGTAATAAAATCAATACATTGGACAATGCTTTAAAGGGATTTTTTTCTTTTTCTCTAGATCAGCGGTCCCCATCCTTTCAGGCACCTGGACAGGTATCCTGGAAGACAATTGTTCCATGGACAGACATGGGGAAGGGGGTGTCTGTGTCAGGATCAAGATGGTGTCAGATTTATGGTGCACTCTTTCTGAACAAGCAAGCAGTCACTGAAGTCAGAACACTCCTGTCCTATGAGAATGCGGGGGACCAAGTACTTTGCTGATTACAGTTTGGACATTTTATGTTGTGGTAGCTCCCCGAATACTGTAAAGCTACCCAAACAGTCCACACTGGTGAACTGGGGGGTTGTGTTGTCACCATTGCTGATATAGGAGCTGATATGTGCACACACAATACCCAAGTAGAGGCATTCTTGCTGATACACTGTCCCTAAGGACACATGGCAACTATAGAGTAGTAGTAGTTGAGTAGATGATTCCTCATTCCTACCTATGATCTCAGACCGCCTCTGTCCTCTTCAGCCAGTGTACCAAAATCACCAGGGGCGAAAGCTGCTGGACAGAACACCAGGGTGGGGGTGGAGATTGATGCCAGGCATTGGGGTGGTTGGTACAAGAGAAGGCGGGGTTACGCGGAGCTCAGTAACGCATTGTACACAGACAATACGCTCCCTGTAATAGGCAGAGCAACACTACAACAAGAACAGGTGTCTCCGAGACCATTCACTTCTCCTGCCATCACCCGTCCTGCCATCCTCTATGTCAGCAAGCAGCTATAAGTAAACATCAAGTTGTTCTGCTCACCTCCTGCAGGGTGGTGCTGCGGTCCAGTTTCTAACAGGCCACAGACCAGTATCGGTGCATGGCCCTGGGGTTCGGAACCCCTGCTCTAGATCAACTAAAGTTTAGGGTTCCATACATGAATATTTTTGATTTATTCATTTTCCTATTGGCTAAACTTTATGTGCCATTTTTTTTCAACCTCCTCTCCTCCTCAGAGTTACTCATTCCACTGCATCTATAGAGCCGTAGCTGTCGCCTAGGCTGGACTCTCTTTATGCCCATTTAATGGGGATAGGGGATTAGTAGTTTTCAGAAAGATGATAATACTGTTTGTGCTTTCAGATCAGCTCACAGGAAGTGACAAGGACACTGCATTTCTGGCAAGATCAGCAAGTATTGTCTGTACTTGCTATAAAATGTGCTTAGGCTAAAAAATTAACTAATGCAGCTGTTCCATCTAATGCCATGTGAGTTGCAATATATTACAATTTTATAATTAGGTTTAAATATCCTTTAACTAAGAGACACCCAAACATGGAAATACTATCTTACAGCCCCCTTTTTAAAAAAAAAATACAACACACATATAACAAACTAGCAGCCTGCAGGGAAGCAAAGCCAGGAGATGCCGCTTTTCTCTGTGGGGGTGGACAGGACTAATGCAGGCTTGAAGAAATTCCAGAAGTCACACAGAGACCAGGTGGCACAGCTAACGCTTCCTTTTGAAAATCCAGCTACTTATGACTCCGTCAGTAGTAATTCTTTTACAGGCAACTGAACATTCAGCTGGACAAATGCACCTCTTGGAAAAAGTTTTGGTCATTTGGCATTTCTGCAAGTTACTCAAGCCAAATCACAGCGTGGCCTTCTGTAAATATGCTCTTCAAGCAGCACACGCCAAGAGATTCATGGCATGGAGTGAGAACGCCTAATGAGAGATGAGAACATGTCCATATCAAAATAAAGACGCCGGGTCATCCATATTAAAAGAATGATTTACATTTGTTATCTTTAAGTGGATTAAACTCAAATTAATATGTTCTTAATAAAGATAAGCATCATGCAGTCTTGGCAACTGTGCTACTAAATGGCGGTCTAATTCAAATGCACCATAAAATCTCTACATAAAGAGCAATACACTACAAGTTATTGCTTGAATAAGAAGCCCACCCAAAACCAAATATGTTGTTTTCAGTGGTTAAAGGGAAGCTTCAGATTCATCAAAATAGCAATATGGATTTGCACAATCTTACCGTGTAAATCTGTGCAAATATATACAATCATGGCCAAAAATATTGCTACCCCTGCATTTCTATCAGATAATGCACCACTTCGCCCAGAAAATTGGTGGATTTACAAATGTTTACACATTCTCAGGTTTAGATCTTTTGTTTTTATTGTATATGACACAAAAAAGTGGAGAAACAAAAAGCCAAATCTGACACATTCCATGCAGAACTCCAACAATGGACTGGACAAAATTATTGGCACCTTCTCAAAGTTGTAAGAAAAAATTGCATTCCAAGTTTGTGATCTCCTGCAATTTGTAATAAAACTCACCTGTATCAAGTAACAGGTGCTGACAATATAGAAATCACACCAGCAACCAGTTAAAATGGTGAAAAACTGACTCAACCTTTCTGTTGTGTGTGTCTGTGTGCCACATGGAGCATGGAGAAGAGAAAGAGCAGCAAAGACTTGTATGAGATTTGAGAAAAAAAATAGTGGAAAAGCATGGACAATCTCAAGGTTACAAATTATTCCCCAGAGATCTTGCCTAAACTAAAGCAGAGATTCACTGTGCATGGAACTAAGGGGATGACAGGAGGGGCGGGAAAGACACAGATCTTATTAATATAGTGCTGACTTTACAGAGTTTTACAAAATAAAGGGAGATGGTAGTTACAATACAATTCAAGACCTGAGGTCTTGCCAGTGAAAGCTTACAATCCTAATGCGGCATGCTTATATTTTTTATGCTTTCTGGGGACTGTTGAGACCATGAGGATGAAAAAAAACATTAACAGGGATTATGCATGAAGAGCGTGCAAAATAATTTCTTGTTGCCTACATCTTAAACTGCAAACATGACAGTTGGAAGCTGGTTTCCAAGTACCCCATAATTTTGTGGAGGGAGGGTCATTAGTTCTATAATACTACACTGGGATTTTGTGAAAGAAAGTCTGGAAGCACTGCTTCCCAGAGTTCTTATTAATAAATGTTGCAGTGTCCAAGTATGCACATCTATGCTTTGATACTGTGACTGGGCTATATTTCTGAGGGAAACGACTATTGGCAGGAAAAAAAATCCAAACAGGCCAGCTGACTTCTCCATTTTGGAGGATCATTTAGGTATATCTGCTGCTGCTAACTATACAAACCCAGCCAATATCAACAAGATAGGACAGAAATCTTAGTTGTTACTATAGGTTTGTACCTGTAATGCCTATGAAATGTATTGGCCTTGGACCTTTTGTTTCTTGGGTAATTTTCACAAAAAAGGATTGTTGCCCAAATGCCAGGAGCATGAGAAATGACTTATGTCATTTCTCTAAGCCAGTGGTTCTTAACCTGGGTTCGATCGAACCCCAGGGGTTCGGTGAGTCAGTCTCGGGGGTTCGGCGGAGGTGACCCACACCCGACTCATGATTTGTGATGACATGCCCAGTGGTCGGCAAGCCGCGGCTCTTGTGTGCCGGGCGCCCGCTCCCCTCCCTCCTCTCGGGCGGCAGGGACTCAAATGCAATGATTGCCCAGTCTCGCTGCCACTCACATCCTGATAGCCAGTGATTGGCTGTCAGGATGTGTGTAGGCGGGGGCAGCGTGACGAACGTGAGAGGAGCTAGGCTCCTCTCACAGTCCGCCTCTGAAGACCGGAACGGCGCGGGAATACAGCGAGAGGAACGCGCGGAGCAAAGGTAAGTGAATTGACACAGTGGGGACTTAATATGGGGGATGAATTAATATGGGGAATGAATTACTATAGGGGGGATGAATTACTATATGGGGGATGAATTACTATATGGGGGATGAATTACTATATGGGGGATGTATTACTATATGGGGGATGAATTACTATATGGGGGATGTATTACTATATGGGGGATGAATTACTATATGGGGGATGAATTATTATATGGGGGATGAATTACTATATGGGGAAGGAATTACTATAGGGGGGATGAATTACTATATGGGGAAGGAATTACTATAGGGGGGATGAATTACTATATGGGGGATGAATTACTATATGGGGGATGAATTACTATGGGGGATGAATTACTATATGGGGGATGAATTACTATGGGGGATGAATTACTATATGGGGAAGGAATTACTATAGGGGGGATGAATTACTATATGGGGGATGAATTACTATATGGGGGGATGAATTACTATGGGGGATGAATTACTATGGGGGATGAATTACTATATGGGGGGATGAATTACTATGGGGGATGAATTACTATATGGGGGATGAATTACTATGGGGTATGAATTACTATATGGGGGATGAATTACTATATGGGGGATGAATTACTATGAGGGATGAATTACTATGAGGGATGAATTACTATATGGGGGATGAATTACTATATGGGGGGTGAATTACTATGAGGGATGAATTACTATGGGGGATGAATTACTATATGGGGATGAATTACTATATGGGGGATGAATTACTATGGGGGATGAATTACTATATGGGGGATGAATTACTATATGGGGGGTGAATTACTATATGGGGGATGAATTACTATATGGGGGATGAATTACTATATGGGGGATGAATTACTATGGGGGATGAATTTTCATACCGTTTGTTACAACATATCTTTGCGAGCAATCCTTTTCGAGGATGCTGGACATAAAGACGAAGAAAAGGAACAGACTTTGTTGCGAAAATGACATGAGAGTGGCACTTGCCAAGGTAATGCCGCGCATTTCTGAACTGGCCTCTGAAAGACAACAGCAGAAGTCATACTGATTTGCGGTAAATATTCATTATTTTGTTTTTGTGTGAAAATCATGTTTTAATGGTTTTGTTCTTTGTTCTTAATGGTTTTGTTCATTTTGTGCACCTATGTATAAATATATACCTATGTTTTGAATTTTAAAAATCATATTTTATTTTTCCAATTAAGAAGGGTTCGGTGAATGCGCATATGAAACTGGTGGGGTTCAGTACCTCCAAAAAGGTTAAGAACCACTGCTCTAAGCTAAAGGAACAGAGTCACAAGATATTCTGCTTATAGCAAGATAAGAACTTGTTTATGGGATTGAACGTGTTTATGACATCTAGTAATGTCACATTAGAAGATAAGAACCTGTTTAAAGATGTTTACTTGCTTGAGAAGTTAGAAATCTTTAAGTTTAGGGTAGATGAGAAGTTTAGGGTAGATAAGAAGCTGATCTGAAGCAAAAGTGTGACTTTGTAGATAACGATGTTGATTCAATATGGTGGCTGGGCGTGACTCTGTTATCCTCACGGAACCTTTCTGCTAGTTCCTCCTAGAGTGGGTGTGGCGCCGGCCCACTTCAGGAAAGCTGTCAGGAAAATGGTTTAAAAGCTGGGAATTTAAACAGGATCGATTGGGAGCCTCCTAGTGACAAGGGACTCTTGCCAAGGCTATATGGGCTCATCGACTGGTCACGTTTACGGCTTTCCCGTGACCCCTGTGCAGTATGGTTCCGATGGGATCTGTTTTTCTTCCCGCCTTCACATAGCTTTGGTAATGTATTAATTCTATGCTGTGACGCTGTCAAATAATGTGTCTGTTTCATGCTGTAATGCTCACATTATTATTGGTGTGTGTTATTATGCAGATTGTGATGACTATAAGATATATCCTCCTGTATGTCGTGTGGTGATAAAAGTGGAGGTTTTGACAGTGCAAGAATATTGCAGTTGGATTCTGTTATTTCTTGGAGTGCCGAGTAAATGCTATGATGTGCCAGGGCAGGTGTTCATTTGGTAGAGGGTCTTTCACATGCGTAGAATATGTAATGGTGTAAAATGCTGGTTAAAAGTACCTGCATGTGACTACCTGTCTATTATGTGTGTGTGTGTGTGTGTGTATGACTTGCTTTTAGTTATTGCACCCAGCATTTTCATTTCAGTATCTTAGCACCTACACTTAAGTTAGGTCTTTAAAAGCTGAAAAAGAACACTGAAGAAGGAAATAAAGCATTGAGCAACATCTCTAGCGTATTTCCTCTTTCCAGGACAAAGCCTTCAAGAAGCTGCTGTGACCACCAAAAACCTAGCTACTATAAACTATAATAAAGGTATCACATCAACTTATAAGTCAAAAAAAAAAAAAAAACAAAGCTATCCCACAAATTTAGAACATGATGGTGTCTCTTTTTAATTAAGGCTATATTTACCTAATCCAAGGCAGCATTTCTCAACCAGTGTGCCTTCTGGGCTTGTTAGGGGTGTCTCTCTGCGTCCTTTATTTTTGCACAGCGTCAGGCACTTCCATGATGTAGACAGGCAAGACAGGGGAGGGGGGAACTGGGGCCCCCAAAGTGATGGGGTGGGGAAATGGGGCCCTCGATGTATGTGAAGGGGCATCTGGGAAACTCGATGTGAAGGGGGGGGACTGAGGATTGTAGCTTGATACAGGGACCCCATATTAGAATGGGGGGCCTAGAGATTTTGCACAGTTTAAAAGGGTGCTATGGCAAAAAAAAAAATCAAGAAATTGAAGCACATTCTCATCAACAATTGCACTATATACACATACAATGTAGGCATAACTTGTATCAGCTTTAGACAAGAATGGAGGAGCTATTTGTTTAAAAGAAACTCACCAGTTATGAGGACAGTTTTGCCATCCAGTCTTTTTGCATCAAGACATAGGCGCCTGCTCTTAAGCCACTTTAAATAAAGAGTTAAAAATAATGCCACCAGCACAGTGACCAGAACGTACATGGTGTCCTCCTGTAACAAAAGCAAACAATTACAGTGTTTCATATTACTTAACCATAGGGTAAAGCAGCGTTTCCTAAACCTGTGCTCAAGTCCCAACAGCAGTCCATTTAGGTAAGTAATATTAATGAGGCAATAATAACTCCATCTGTGCATGTGTGAGGCTACCTTCTATTCATCTACCTTTGGTGGAAGTGAGGGCAGGTTTAAGAAACACTAGTAGTGTAGACTACAAATATCAGTTTGGATGTTGACAAACGCCCTAATTTAAAAAAGGTACATTTACCAAATTTTTAATTCTGTGAGAAACTGGAATACATCTGGTGGTAAATGACTTGGAAAATTTTGCATATCAAGATATAAAGTACTGAAACCTAAACTTTGGGTAGAAATAATGACATAAACATAGCTTCTTCCCAATGTTCGCAGCATACAAGATTTTTGTATATGCCATAAAATCTTGTACTTGGGAGTGCACTGAATGACCTAGCAAGTCTTAAACCTTTGGATTATACTGCCATCTACAAGAGGATTGGCCGCTATGAAACAGAAAAGGCTTTTGACCATCCCAGGGTAGGATTCCTCCCACCTTTACTGTATGCTTTAGTTTTGTAGCAAAGCAGTACTTTGATCATGATTATACACACAGAGGGGTGGGACCTGTGTTCCCCAATTGACTAAGAAAATAAAAAGGATTTTATGGCAATTGCAAGAATCTCATTTTCTTTCTTGTCCATTGAACTCTTAAATCTTTGGGATTTCCAAAAGCAGCAGTGGAGCAAGACAACATTGAACTGCTAACAGGCCAAACTTAAATAACTGGGGACTACCTGCAGCTCAAAGACCTGCCTGAAAACCCACACTTAAAGCTAGCATCAGATGAGGCAGAAATGTCTACCTGACAGAACTTAGAGAACATGGGAACAGAAGACCAGATGGCAACTGTGCAAATCTGGAAAGCAGAGATCTGATGCCATAAAGCACAAGATGTATTCACTGCCTTAGCGGAGTGAGCCTTAACTAGCAAGGGAAGAATTTGATCCTTAAGACAATAAGCCATACTTCTCTTTGGTGAAATGGAGCTGGACAGAGAATGAAGAACAATGGCCTGATTAAGGTGGAAGGCAGACATGATCTTGGGTAGAAGAAGACCTGGCCTGGATATCACCTTTCCTTGTACAAGACAAAGCCACCATCTCAGACAAGCACCTAGCTAAGATGGTGGCCTCAAGAAAAACAACCTTTTGGGTTAGAATAGACAAAAGGAAAACCTCTGGCTGATTAAAAACAGGGGCTTCTGAAATGCCGACAGAACAAGAGTCAAATCCCATGGAGGGAATTGGATCAAGGGGACTACACGGGAGACCCTCTGCACAAAGATATTAATCAGAGAGCGGGAAGCCAATTGTGTCTGAAACAGAATAAAAAGAAGAGACCTGGCCCTTCATGGTACTTACAACCAAATGTTGGACTAGACCCAACTGCCAAAACAGGAGAGGATCATCAAAAAAAAGTAAGTCTTCCAGATCTGATGGCTTCAACAGCCAATACATCAAAGCTAGTGACTGTGAAGCTTGGAAGCATGTTGCATCTGCGACAGCTGCCCTGGCCAAAACATAGCAATGAGGATCACCAGAATGCCCTCCATCTTGGTGCTGCGGATCAGGCAAGGAAAAAGTTTTAAAGGGGAGGAAAGGAATAGATCAGGGTGTACAGATCCCTCTGATCCACTAGCAAATCCACCGCTTCTATCAGCAGATCGCTTTACTCAGATGCAAACCTTTCAGGAAACTAGTTCAGCTAATGTTAATTATTACAGTTAATGCTAATTCTTCTTCAGCTACTGCTCATTCCTGTGCAACTACTGCTCATGCACATGTAAAAGCACACAGACAAGCCCAGGCTAATATCCAGCATGCAATGACACGTAGGCGCATTTCTATGCACCATTGTGCATCGGCACACACGTCTTACCACATTGGCACCAAGCTGCCTATTTAAAGGAGACTCTGCTGTGTACTAATTGCTGGATGTTCTTCAGTTTCCTGTGATCCATGTTCCTGTTTGTACTGACTGATCTTCTGTTGCTGACCCGGCTTGCTCCTGACCTTGCTCTGTGGATTCTGACCTCGGATTGCCTTAGACTACTCTCTGCGTGATCTCCTGGTGCTTACCTTGGCTTGCTACTGGACCTCGCTCTGCTTGCTGACCTGTAACTAATTCCGCCTGCCACCTGACCATGCTGCTGTCTCACTGTGTATGGCCCTGGCTCACCTTGACTACATCCCTGACAGTGGCAGTCACCTGCTATCAAGCTATTGGCACCCGTGCTTCTTTGAGCCTTGTACCTCTGTCACCACATTCAGGGGTGTTCAGACCAGAGTTGCAAGGGAAGCCCTCTCATTAGCTCGGCCTTCAACCAAGGTACGTGACAAAGCCTGTCCAGTTTGTTGTTGAACATGGAGGCCAGGAGGTCCACATCCAGCACTGCCCACCTGTCACACAGGTCTTAGAACACCTCTGGGTGCAGAGACCACTCATTCAGGTCCAGATGCTGCCAGCTGAGGAAATATGCCTGGTGACTATCTAGGCTAAGAATGTAAAGGGCTGACAGGGCTGGAACCTCAAGTTCTGTCCAGGACAAGATCTGCTCTACCTCTAACAGGGAGAATTTTTGTTCCTCCCCAATGATTCATATGCTTCACTGCCATTGTGTTGCTTGACTGGATCTGAATTGAATTGCGTTTTAACAGGTTGGTCGAATGCCGAAGGGACATCCATATGGACCAAAGCTCCAAAATGTTGAGACAAGATTCCTTCCATGACCAAGTGCCCAGTATCAGTAAATTATTTAGGACTCCCCCTAAGCTGAACAGGCTGGCATTTGTCTACAGGATTCTCCAGAACATAGGAAGAAAAGGTTTCCCCAACACTAGGTCTCCAAGTTACCAAGCCATGGACAGTCTGATTCTGGGTGTCACCCTGATCAGTCTGTCCATAAACAGCACCAGATTGTCCCACGATGACGATCTGTTATTTTGTAGAGGTCTGTATTGGAGATGGAAAAATGGACCTGCCTCAAAAAGAAGTTCGCCATTATCATGCAGTAGCATAGGGTCAGATTACTTCTGGATTCAAGAACACAAAATGGTAGATTTAAAACCTGTAGATCTTAGAATCTGAAATTTGTCCTGGGGAAGGAGCACTCTGGCCTAGGAAACATTGCATTCCAGAAACTCCAAGCAATGAAGTAGAGTCAACTCCGATTTCTGAAGGTTCAGGGTCTACTCAAACCTCTGCAGTGTCTGGATTGTCATTGACATGTTGTCCTCTAACAGCCTTGCTGATTGTTTTCACGGCTGAAGGTCATCCAGTTATCCCACATTTGGAACACCCCAAGGGCAAAACAGGGCTAACACTGAAGCAAGTACCTTGGTGAACACCTGAGAGGCAGAATATGAGCTAAATGGAAGAGTAAAAAACCTGCAGAGATCCCTAAAGTAAAACGCAGAAACTGTTGTTGAGCTGGAAAGATGGGAACACATATTTATGGTGTTTATAGTGTGAAGGGAAGCAATGACAGATCCATCTGAATTCATCCAGAAATTGTGGAACCAAATGAAAAAATTCAGGGCATTGAGGTCCAAGATCGGGTGAATGTTCCCTTTGAGTTTTAGGACTGTGAAAAGATTGGAGAAAACCCCCTGAAACTGTTCTGCACCAAGGACTGGGGCTATGACCCCTTGGTCCAAAGGTTTAGAGAGTGCCAAATGAAGATCTGATAGTCACTGATGGGACACAGGGAGGTTTGATGCTACAGTGGAGGGGGCAGGAAGGAAACTCTAGTCTGTAACCCTGGGACACCACTTCTGGTACCTAGGCATTTGAAAATGCAAGACACCCAAGCATCTACAAATGGTCAACAGATATCTTCCAACTTTGGAAAGTGGGGGACCACAGTCAAGCTGAGGAGGACTGCATTTGGCAGCTTTGGAATGCCAGATCATATGGGTAGACAGGGATCCAAACTTGGGAAGCCTCCAAGCTGAAGCTCGGGTGTACTAAAATGGAAGGTGACACAGGAAAGATGGATGGTGATGACTACTTCTCAGTGGAAGAAGCAGCTTCCTAAGGTGGCACCGAGAAGAGAGGCCCATTGCACAAAGCAGGCAAGTATAACTTTTTTTAATTTTAACTTTACACTCACGTTAATTATAAACAGTGCAAAAATTATGTCAGATCCTTTCCTGCTTCTTGTCTGCAGGTACCAAGACAAGCCTTGTAGTCTAAGGTGTGTGCCATTACCATAAAGAATTGCAAGATTAATCCCTGTGCTGCTAAATTAAACAATACACCCCAGGAACCCTTTTGATGTCCAGTACTCTAAGCATCGCATTACACATCAAACTCCCAGTGCAGTTGCCATAGCTAAGGATGCCACATTCTTTGCTAGTGGTTGCATTTAACCATTTCCTGTCTGGGGTAATTTTGAAATTTCTCACATACATGTAAACATCTACATATTTTGGGAGAGAACCCTGGATCATATATTTTCTGAAAGCAAAAGCCCTGGAGAATAAAATGGTGGTTGCTGCAATGTTTTCATGACACGTGATATTTGTGCAGCTGTTTATCAAACACAACTTAGCATTTTGGTGCACACAAACACAATATTTTAAATTTTACAAGCCCGTAAAATGACAACAAACTACGGTACCTAAATGCTCTTTAGACACGGCTTTAAAGGCCTTTGGAGCTTACCAGTTTAGAGCTAAGCATGAGTTGTGCTGCTAGGATTATTGCTCTCACTTTGACATTTGCGGCGATTCCCACTTGTGCATGAGCACAGGGGGGGTTGTTTGAATTTTTAAAAAATGTTATTGTGTATCTTAAATTTCTTTTTTTTTTTTAAGTCAACTTTATTGCTATCACAAGGGATGAACACAACATCCCTTGTTATAGCTTGGGCAGTGACAGGCACTCTTTATTGATCTCATCTGTGG